TTTATTGAAATCGATGTGGCCTATACAATGGCTTCGGGGGCCAGCCGATGTACAAGTCAGTGTTTTATCCTCCCAGACGAATCTGGTACCAATTTACCGTCCCCGGAGGGTAGAAGGCTTGGTTGGCCTAGGCGGGAAGTCGACCCGGGATTTGAACCCAGGACCGCGCGAGTGTGAGCAAGCACTTGTCACTACACCACCTCCTGCCCTTCCTCGTCGTATGCACATATAATACCCAAAACTAATTAGAGAGCAAGGGCCTTGTTCAGGGTATAGTTTCTCTTGCTTTTTGTGACAGATAAACTAACGCTTACAAGTACATATCCGAGAACTGCTGGCCATGCCTTGCTATCGTAGGAGGCGTGTTCAAAAGACTTGAAAAGTTTCTTGGTGGGAAGATCATGATGTAGCAGTTTTTTTACAGTATCAAGCTAACATGCAGCTTATTTTATGTTCTTGATGTACGCATAGATGCAGTACTGCAGTTTTCTGGAACCACTTGAACTATTTAACAACACTTCACCGCTTCACATTTATTATAGTGAAAAACCATTGTAGCAGTATATGCAGCTCCCCAGTGGAGTATAAGTGAAAAGTTTAATTTATGAACATTAAACAAAGACGTGATCATCCACTGATTCGTTTCAGGATCGAGCAGAGCCAGCGTCAGCTATACGCAAAAGGCAGAACGAGATGCTTGCTGATGAATACGTGGTACGAGGCGTGGAACACATGCGATCTGGTAATCGTGAAGCGGCCATCGTTGTGCTCAATCAAGCATTGGATATCAACCCGCATTGCGTCGAAGCGCTAGTGGCAAGAGGCGCAGCGTGAGTGGAGCTCTTCTGTCAAGCATCAGCGACATCGTGCATAACAGAATAAAGTAGAAGCAGATTCCTGCTTGACCTCATAGCTGTCTAAGACCCGTGGTGGGGGAAGATTACGGAGACTGTAGCGACATTGGTCCTAAAGGGGTTTACAGGAGAAATCAGGACCAGTAGTGTTGCCCGCAGTCTTGGGGTCCATTTCCCGGGCACATTTTTGCAGAGTTTTTTGGTGCAGTTTCTGTGAGAAAACAACCATCAACGGATTTTCATTCTGAATTTTTTTCGATACCTCAGTCTAGAGGTGAGACCATTGATCTGGTGATAAATGCATAGGGCCGCTTCAGAA